CGCCTTAAGCCGCTCGATCTTCGGCCAAAGCATGTTTGTTGCTTGAAACATGTCTACCATGCACCGGAAAATGGACCTCAAACCTGAACGAGAGCATGCGAGCATGCGAGCATGTGGCAGATAGATTCTCTAAGGAGTAGTGTTTCTTGATGTGCATACTGAGTTCGAATCAGCCAATTCGCGTTGTACCAAAAACATCTGGGTGCCAAAGCACTCAGTCAACATTATTCTGATGCGGAGTCTTGTGAAAGGCATGAGATGATGGCATGAGGTTTTGGAGTCTTTTATTTATTTCCCACATGATCATTGAACATCCCGCCCCGGTAGGCCTTCACCTTAGGACTCCGGCTTCGATCCTGGCGATGTCGCTGTGAACAGCCCCGTTTAGGCACATGGAAAATCAAATCAAAAAGAGAGTTGTACCCTCATGTACCTTCAGGGCATTCCGCTTGTAGTATGAAAGTGGAGTCTCAATGATCTGTAGTTGCACAAGGCTATGGAACATAAACGTACAATGTAGATGTCCGGAGCTCTTCCGAATGATCTACGGGTGTTGCTTCGAAGTAGTGCACCCGACCGCACACTTGCGCTGGAACGTTCGCACCTCGCAGGCTTCCAAACACATCCAAAAACTCCGGACTGGCATATTTGCCAATGAATTGGGGTGGCTGAGCAAAATGGAAAACGGGTCAATGTAGGCATATCTGGCATGTCTGTCCCATGGCATGCCTGGGATCACCTGGTGGGCCTTCCCCAAAGTCGAGTCGAAAGAAGTCCAATGAGGATCGCTGTTTTGCCCCGCGAGGATCAATTGAAAAGGATTTTTTAAAATATATGTATTATACCAGCACCCGACTACAGGTCTCCGAAATGGTGGCTTTTGCAGACTTAGACTTAAACGTCGCAGGTGGTTACCTGTTGGAGGCTGCTGGTATATATGATTATATATGCCTTGTATCTTCGGACAATTTCAATCATGTGCTCGTTGAAGGGCCCAATACGGTATCTCAAAAGTATATGATGTATATGATCAATTTTCTAACAAGGACTTGAGTTTCCATGGGTCATTCCGAAAACCTGCAGTACCTTGACGTCAGAATTGCAACAGCGAAAACAAAGTACAAAGAAATTACACCTTTCTTGGCAAACAACCACAAATCAAACAAAAACATTCAGATTCACATCCGGACAATTTAGAATCCTTTACTGGACTTCTGAACATCGGTGACACGACCCTCATGTTTGGGTTGCTGCAAAAAGCCATCCAACTCTGCAGGTGAGTCATACTTTAGCAATTCATGTTTTATCCTGCTGCCATCCCAACAGTGCGCCTCTGAAAACTTGTATAAACATTGTAAATAGCACTTGCGCCATATCTGAGCATGACAACAGCTCAGCCAGAAATGGAAAACCATCCAAATGTTCAATCGATTCTCCTCAACAAAACATACAAAAATGAAACATACACACACACCACTTCCAAAGGAACCCTAATGGAGGATAGGGGCACTCACTTACACTCTCTAAAGCACCTCTTTTGCGATGGTTTCCCTGTCCAAAATGCTCCTGCATAACCCAGAAAGTCAGTCCTCAGCCTGGGGCTTCCGAGCGCCTCACGAAGACCAACGTGTTGGATTTCGAGATGCTACTTGGGGTTTCAAAGCATTTTGCAAACGGTCAAACGGTCCTTGAAGTAGGTGCTGAAGCGCCCCCCCGGAAACATGACAGAACATGATCCAAAAGTGAACCTTATTTCCCCGGAGAACAGAACATGGTGTGAGACACATATTTATCTCCTTGTAAAGTATGGCTTTCGAGGTTGCAATATTCCCAGCGGTTGGATTTTAGAGATTTCATCTTGGATCGCAGTAGTGTAATTCATCAGCCCTTCTCGTTTGCGTGGTTAATCTCTGCTATCCACCCCAATACTGCTGGTCACCCCAGCCGAAAAACAGGGGCGTACGTTCGGCCAAGGAGTCAAGGCTGCTGTTCGGCCCAAGGAGTCAAGCCTGAAGCCGACGGGAAACACAACCCGAACTGTGAGGGTCCCGTATTGACCGTCAGCGGCCATAGCCCTGCTAGGCCGTCCTCAACAAAGGTTCCTCACATAGGAAAGCCGGGGTAAGTACGGCTTCCTATGGCAGCACATACAAGAGCTTCACCAGTCTGGGACAGAAACACCAGTGGCTGTGTTTTGCTCTTGAACCAAAATGTTCCAAGGCGTTGACGACGGTGACGACGGTGCGCCCAAGCTTGCCCTGCACTCAACATAGCTGTAAGAACAGGCCTACCATGGCCTAAGCACCTATTACGCCCCATGATCTCCACGCAAAAATCAACCACCAATACCCATTCGGACCTCCCTATTAAGACACCCTTTCTTCTTCCAAAAGCCGCCTGTCGCCCCAAAGAGATCGCAGTCATCCGAGGCTTCAGCTTGAGACGCTTTTCCTTCACACCGCGGCCGAGGCATGGGTGTTGCACCCCCAGGTGGGCACACGTTTACGTAAGTAACTACGTAACCCTTGCAGTGAATAACATCATATATCACTCAATATACTCAATGCACCATACCCTTCCATGGATAGGATCAAACTACCACTAAGTCATGTTGCAAAAGTGCGGCTTCACCTACCAAGGGCCCATGCAAAACAGCAGGAAACCACACCAACAAATGCTCACAAAAGGACCAGAGCGATGCCAGCACAAACAACCAGCACATGGACCGGAAGGTCTGGGAACACCTCTGCGAGCTCTTCGACCTGGCTGTCCTGGAGCTCTTCGACTTGGCCACCGAACCACACACCAATCCGTTTCGTTCCCTGGGCTTCCTAGCCATGTTCCGCCAAAAAGCTGACAATGGGCACACGGACCGGATGCACTAAGGAGCCTGAAAGTGGGCGAGGATTGAGTTGTCGTTTTCTTCTTTTTTTGTTTCATGGAGATATTTATTAGCCTCTCTGTGAGGTGATTTAGGTCCAAAAACCACCGAACTTGGAAGGTCCTGGTATGGGTGGATGTTGGTATTAGCTGGAGTTTACCTCTTCTTGGCTAAGACCTCTCCTAACTGTACTCGAGGGATGTCTTCAGGGAGGTCCTCCTCAAGATTCTTGGCTTAACTTGCAAGTGCATGGTGGTTGACATAGGGGTTGACCACCAAACAAATAAACAGAAAAGTCATTGACAATTGATTCAGTTTGGAGGAGAGGGGTCTAGAACTTTAAGGTGGCTTTTCTTGCAGCGGGACCTGCATGGACGTAGTTGCAGCGTAGTGCCCCCCATGGTTATCACAGCCACTGGTGGATGTAAGTTTCGTGTCATTTCATCAACCATCATTCCCAAACACTCCATGGGACTGCCATATATGCATACATTGACCCCCAGTCAACCACCCCAACTGATCGGCAGTCCTATGGCAGTCCCATATAGTCCCATGGAGTGTGGGATTGCATTTCTCACTGCTTTGGGTGACAGAAAACTTGCACCTCAACCAATTTTTGTCCTGTATAATGGTTAATTAAACGAGCGCCCCCCAAACCACTCGATTCCTGGGCAAACGTCTCCTCAACGTGCTGCAACCTACGTCCATTGCAACTCTGGTCCCCTTGGGGGTGCAACAAAAAAGGGGGTCTAACTTCATTCAAACGTCGCATTGCCGTCGCGTCGTGGCAACAAAAATGGAACGAAAACACATGAACAACTGCGATCAATCTTTTGTGGCCGGAAGAACCCTTGTTCTATACTCATCGGTGCTGTACAAAAACCATGAGTTGTGGCCATGCGATTCAGTTCCAGATCCGGAGCACGGAAACAGCGAGCACGCCCTCGCCGTTCAAGCCGTTCTGTACAATCCAAACCGCGCAGCAAATCTGGGCACGACATCATCAGTCGTTCTGCACAAAGATCTGTAAGTCGCTCATACCCAGTGAATCCGATTCAACCCACTCTCCGATCGGTCACCTCATTCGGAATCTTCGACCCCTTGAAGGAGCCCTGCGTATAAGCAGTGTTGAGATGAAACAATGCGTTTTCCGCAGGCGACGTGTCACCACAAGCAATGCGTATAAGCAAGACATAGCCGGACATCAATTCTAGAGGTGACCTTTCACGACTGTACATGTCTTGTGATGGATCTGTGGGAAATGCCCATGGGCAAGGCGGCTTCATCTGGGATGGGGCAAACCAGTTGGCTTCGCTCACGTGTTGTCCCTCGCGACGGAACGAATTCAAGCCGTCCAACACGTTGGTGCCGGCATTCAACCTAAAACGTCGACCAGGCGGGTTTTCCCCCTGCCGGACCCGAACCGTGACCGGTGACCGTGACCCGGGCACTCCAATACTCAATGCTTAATGTAACGGTTTGGCCACGATTGACCAGTTCGTTTTGGGGGGCAAGCACGACATGTATATATATATATACATAACTTATAACTTACAAAACCCTACAAGTCCAGTCTGACCCAGTAAAACCTGGTCTTTTACCTCATTAAGTAGGTTTTTTGATGTTTTTTGTATGACCACGTCCAGTAAAATGAGGTCATTGACCTGGAGGGATCATACATCTGTTCTTCTTCTCGGGCTGTCCTGCGGGGGCTTTGATGTGCGACTCGACCGGCGGCCTTCGGACCCTCCGAACGGAGGGCCGAACTGGGAGGACCTCAGGACATCCGAGCAACGGATGGTCCTGGAAGGGTAAGTGACTTCGCATATTGTACCAAGGTGGTCGGGACCTTGCTTTTGACCTCGGAAAGAAAAGGTTGTTGAATTGTTTGAGTTGTTTCTTTTAGGTATCAGGTACCTGAGCACAGCCGTTCACCAGACTCACAGACGTGTGGAAGCTGACGTTGTGATGGAAGCTGAGGTCATCAAAGCCCCCACTTGATGAACAAAACAGTAGATGTAATGCCCAACACCCCCGTTCAAGGTCAACAAGGTCATCTTCCGCAACTTCCACCAGCCCCAAATCTGCTTGCTGAGCGACCCAAGCGGCCCAAGTGCAATCACCAGCGACGATCAAAGGGTGCCTTGACCTTCTTGGTGGGGCGTGGGAAGGCTTTCCGGACGCCATCCTTGAAGATCATGGGCTTGTAATCATCTGGCACACTCTTGTGCATCACCTAAGGTGCCAATTGTGCCAAACCCAGCCGTGGTTCCCGAACCTGCTTCACTCCCACACTTGGTCGGCTGGGTTGGTTGCAGAAGTTCTCCCACATCAACTGCATTCAACTGCTGGACCTTCTTTCTTTCTTCCCAAAAGAGGGCCGCCCGTCGCGACGACGCCGCGACGCGCGAGTCGCGGGCGGGAGGCCGGGCTGTTGCGGTAGCGGTCCACGTGCGCGCGCAAGCCCTGGTGAGGTCCACTCCAGCGCACCTCGCACACCTTGGCCGTGGGCAAAGCCTTGGCTCGTGGGTGGTTGGGCGGTTCGAGCTGAGCCGTCGGACCAACGGAACCAAACCGGAAATGGGACTGGAATAGACTGGAATAGACTTTGGTGAATGGGACTGGAATAGATGCCACAAAAAGTGATCCCCCTTTCCACCAGCCCAAGGTGGACAGTAGACTCTGTAGACTCTTGATTCTTGATTCATAGAGCCCCCCCGATGGAATTGAAGCACCTCTTCTATCCCTCTCGCTTGCCGTCCACGATGACCCCTTGTGGATCGGATCAAAAGCGGTGCTGCTGACACTCAGGTCAGACGGCATCACATGTACCAAAGAAAAGGAGCAGCCGAAAACAAAAACAAAACGACATCAAATAGGGAACTCCCAGGAAGTGAGGGATCTCGTACATCCCCCACACAGGAGCTCCCCGAAGTCAACCAACTCATCAATTGAAAAACGTGGAATAGCACCGATGATGGCGCCTTGCGGAAGGGCCCTACCCTCAGTTTTGAGGGTGAAGTTGCAAGCCTTCCCTGGGAAAATCTGGTGATTAGGTCTCTTCTGTACAAAAACCAACATGCGTCGGATCCAGAAAACAAGATCGCGAAAAGTGTGGCCACCGGCTGAGATATCATGTAAAAAATACCCACGTTTCCAGAACAAGAACGAGATTTCAACATATGCCGTCTTCACAGAATCCTCAACTCTCCATTGAAGACTGTGCATGAACCGGAAGAATGTAGCAATGTCCTCCGGCTGGAGCTTGGTGAACCAACCTGCTGAACAGTCAAGGGAGGCCGTGGTTGTCCATGTAAAGGAGGAGGCTGGCTGCTCCCAATCCCATTTAGGAAAACGCTTCTTCATAGCCTCGAGAGGCGACAGTTGCGGCTGGGATTCCTCTGGTTCATGTTCAGGATGAAATAAGACATTGCCAATGTGGAAATTCCATCTGGCTAAATACAATTGTCTCTGATAGACAGCCTGTTGCAGCATGTGAAAGTCCTCAGGATGAACAGCAGCTGCTTTCATTGCCACCTGTTTGGCATAAATGTCTGCGACTCTATTCAGACGAATAGACTCCAGCGTGGTGCCATGACGGATGGCAAACTCCTCAGTCAATTCCGTGGATGGAAAGTTGTCACCTAAGTGTGCAGGGATCCACGTTACCTGGAGTGGCTGATCGTGGCACTCAGATCGAGCCCTGTATGTTCTAAGTATGGAGTCCCACCAGAAACGATGTGACCAGGAGGGCGGAATGCAGTTGGACCGGCACATGACACGGAACTGATCGACGATGGTTTTACAGTCGGTGTGTACGTGAACTGCTGAGTTGGATCGCTGAAAGGCTCTTAAAAGTGCAAACAGTTCCGCTGCATATGACGAGAGCTTCACCGAATGGACTCGGTCCGCTTCGAGACAGAGACCTGTTTGAGAGATGACACTGTATCCTGCGGCCGTAAGCCAGAAGTTTGCACTAAAAAACACAGACCCATCAGTCCAGACCTTAGTGACCGGAGCTTGTGGATCAAAGTTGTGTTGTGGTGGAGGTACAGGTTTGTACTCCAACCGATGCTGAGCAATCGCAGTTGGATGATCGAATAAGCCTAATAAACGGAAATTAGGCCCGAAGTCATGGGCCGGTGGTTCTTGAATTGGGAGGGGCCCTTGACATTCGGTAATCAAGTGCAACATAGATTCTGAAGGAAGACCACAGAACCGACATGCATTTGTGTCACAATACCCAGCAGCACAGCGTCGATCATTCGTGATAGTGCAGCCAACACTCTGTGAGTCGAAATGGCAGGTGAGGTCAAGGCTTTTGTCATATGGACGTGGGTACAAATGGTAAAAAGTGCGAAACAAAGAAATGTCAAGGAAACCTTGAGGCTTAGACAGGTCTTTGCGGGATTGTTTCCCCGCCTGTTCATAACAATATTGAATGGCAAGGTTCTGAAGAAGTGGTTTTAAATCATGAACTCCAATGTGGAGAACGGGAATGCGCACATCTCCAAATCCAAGCTCAAGTTGGGCAGACAAGAAAAGGTGAAAAACGGACAATGCCTCTTGAACCTGGTTCAACAGTGCATGCTTTGGCAATGCTGACTGAGAAAGCAATTCAACACACTGATGACTTCTCTCGGGATGTGAATGTATGAAGCGCCAAAAATCAAGGATGCAACAGTAAGCCCTTGCACACACAGGCTCGACTCTGTGGGGAGGAGACAGAAGGGCGAAGACCAACATGCGCGACCTCCAATGGGGACGCTTATCCCAAAAAACTTGGACGAGTTCCCCTCGGATTTTATCAATCGCTTGTTTCGGAATCTTCGAGATGTGTGCTGCAAAAGAAAGTTGCGGAAGGACTTTTGCCCCAAGTAGTTGGCCCTTGACTACTCGGGGGACAGGTAAGTTTGAGATGTTTCTAATGTCCGCCACTACTTTCGAAGTCTTATTGGCATCGAAAATGAACGCGTCCCTGTTAGACGTGTAAATCTTCGCACCTAAAACGTCAAATTCAAGGCAAAGCGGAAGCGCAGGAAATGCACTCTTGGCTTGTTTCCGAGCAAGGGCTGATGTGGCCCAGAGAACGCTTTTACCTGTATTCAGTTGTTGACCGACAAGATCACCCCACACAATTGTAACTTGAAGAGCCGTCTGCAAATGATGGATGTGTATCAACCTCACCCACAAGTAGGCATCGTCGATGAAAACCCTCGATGTAACATGGGGGATATTTTCGACAAAGCAGGCCCAGACATGCATGTAAACGTTAATTGCAACCAAAGACATGGAGCATCCCTGGGCAACCCCATTGGCAATGGTGGTGTGTGTCTTAGACATCCACCCCCGATAGGAGAGGTGCTTGGTCAGACCCCGATACATCATCAAAAAGGTGTTGACAATTCCCTTAGGGACACCAAGAGCCAACATAAAAGTACCTGCAACGTTCGGAATGATTCTATCAAAGCATTTCGATTGGTCCAATTTAATTCCAACAAGCGGCTGAGAGGTGGATTGAGCCACATCCATGTCCAACCTGAGTCCAGTGCTGACCGACGCCATTGAGCGATGCCGTATTCCTCCGTACAGAGATGCATGCATGGTTGCCATTTGCCACTCCTGGAGGTGACGGAATCTTGTGCCCGTGTATGCAAGTAACATCGGAGAAAAAATAGTAATTAATCTTTTATTGAGCGGCGACGATGGTCCTGCCTTATTTAAAATAATTTGCTTTGCCCTGACGAGGACACTGGGAATGTCCGCACCGCAGGAGTCCTCCAGCCTGGAAAAGAAAGTCGCAATGGCATTCAAGCAGCAAAGAGGTAAAAACTGCAAGTCGGTGGTTCGCCACCCATCCAGACCAGCGGCAGCTTCAGGCTTCCGAGCGGCAATAGTCACTGCGAGATCAGCTCCCGTCAAGGGAGGTGTTTGCCATGGGACACAATCCTTCTGGATGTATGGCCAGGCGACTTGGAGAATCGAAATGGGGTCGTCATGCGACATGTTCGAAGCAAAAATGTCGTCCCATTGAGAATTGATCAAAGCAAGAGCCTCATTAGGCTGGCAAACAATGTTACGGTTGGCGTCAAGAACAAGGTTGGAAGGTTCATCGGCAACCTTACTCTTAAGGTGATGAAAGATGTATTTACGGTCACCCACAGCTGATGCTTTGACCTTACTTTTCCAGGCTTGGATGCGTTGCTGCCGCTTACGAAAGTCCCATGCTTGGAGTTGAAATTGAATCCATTGGATATTCTGCTGGATGTCGACCAAGTTGGGAGTCTTGGGTATAAGCCAAACAAAAGGGGACTTAAGGACGTGAAGTGTCTTCCACGCTTTGAGAGCCGTACGTGTGAGAATGTGTTCATCAGCGACACTTGAGATGGGACGTTGCAGACGGGTAGACAGTTCCCACAACCTTGCAAGCGTGTTCTGAAACCAGGAGCCACGCAACGTGAGGGCGGACCGGGTTTTTGCTTGACCGGGGCAAAACTGTTTGGCCACGAGAATGGGCGCTTGACCTCGACACCGTGGACCTGGGCCCCAGGTGGCGCCACTTTGAACCAAAGTATCAAGACAAAACTTGTTAATGATATCCCATTTATTCTCCGGCTCGGTGGCTTGTTCAAAGCAAGAGGCCACGGAATCGTCCCAAAGGTTTGAAGCAATCACATTAGAAGGGTGGTGAACATCAATCCCAGGTTTGCTCAGGTGATTGACCTCGAGCGGGGCAAATTTGCACTGTGTGAAACCATGTAATCTAATTGAGGACCAGGAAAAAGAAGCACGTATCGGTCGGTGCTGAACCCCGGTCACAGCTAAAACCTCAATGGACCGAAGGGCAGAATGGGCAACTGTGTTGAGAAGGATGCCATCGATTGATGAGCAAAAATCACCAAAGCCAGAAAAGGAACTATCTTTCGAGTAGGTCATGGGTCTGAAGACTTCACCAGAAGAGTCCGATTGAGACAGCGGGTCAAACCACCCGTGAAAATTAACTGCATGCGAAAGCGAAGGGTAATGGAGGGGATTGGACTGAAAATCCCCTGCAATGATGATGGGGATTTCTCCGAACTGCGAACAGATAGTCAACAAGTCAGCAAAAACAGAATCGTTGTAGTCGAAAACCTCCGAAACCGCGGAGGCTGCGGTTTTGGCGTAAACAGAAAAAACAAGGGCTTTTTGCGAAGGAGTCACCTGAATCCAGCAAGCATTTGCTCTGTGATTATCAAAAAGTTGTTTGTAGAGACCCGTGTGGTCTTCAAGAAAGTCAAAAGGAAAGGAAAGTTCGGGGGCAGCCAAAATGGCTGTGCCTCCATGCATGGTGGTGTGCTGCCCGTCAGTGCGGAACATGCCTTTGAGGGGAGCACACATGTGAAGGGCTAAACCAGTTTCCTCGACTGCTTTGCGGGAAACACGGATATTGTTGCAGCCAATTCTAGTTTCTTGTAAACATTGAACATTATCAACAGAGTGCTTCCACCCCAAATTGGTCTTGAGACTCCCAATGTTGGAGGAAGAAAGAGTCCATAAATTCGAAGAACAGGGACCTTCACCAGGGAAACCCAGAGAACTGTCGAAATCCCTTCTCACGAGGGGGTCGCGATCAAACAATGGAAAATATGAATCGGAAAGGCAAAAGACGAGCTGGTTGACTGCTTGAAAGAGGAACGGACTGCAAGATATTTTCGGCTGCAGCTGAAGCTCACAGGAGAGTCGCCTGTGACACATGTCAAAATGGTGGTCTATGAACGAAAGCTCAGCACCCTGCGAAGCATTGGAATGCAAAATGTGACAAGGAAGAATCAAGACAAAACACAGAGTGAGAACCAAGCAAAGTGCCAGCTTTGAGCAGGAAGACCTCAACGTTAACGGCTTCCACCGGACAAGGTTACATGTCGTCCCTTCTACCCAGTGGAAAAGCCTCCCTTCTCTGTCGGAAAGGTACCCATTGAATTGCATCGTAACAGATGCACACAGACCCGGCGCAAGTTGAGACAAGGCGGACAAGAAAAAGAAATGCATCAAAAACATCCATCGGAACACGAAAAGCAAAACGAGACAAAAAGCACCGGTACTGGCACCTGTCCCAACAAGCGCCCTAAAATGTCAACCCTGGCGAAGCGCCTTTGGCGGCGGGGTCTCACCTGTGACCTCTCGGGTTCTGCCCTGCCCTACGGATTGCAACAGTTGCCTCAGTGAATCGCTGATGATCGAACTTGGAATCGACTTTCTCCTCGAATCTGTCTTGCCGAGCTTCCAAACGCCCGAAGCGTTCCTCGAGTTGGTCAAGTCGGCCGGCATCAGCACTAGGAGCAGGTCGAGGCACAAACTGAGGTTGCGGCGGAGGCTTGATCTCCTGCGAACGAGGATTTTTGCCTCCAGGTCGCACATTGGAGCGAGGTGGTTGCTTGGCACGCCCCACATTGATGCATTCTTGAAGCAGGATCTCATGGGCTTGGCCGTTGACTTCGATGATGAACTTCTCCAGGGCAGGTTTCTTGTCGAACGCCAGGACCCAGGTGACGACACCTGCCACTCTGAACGTCCGAGTAGGGACAGGTGCGGCCTTTGCAGCTTGGAGTGTGGCCTGCACCACATCAGAAGCAGTGGTGCCGACCGGCCATCCAGATGCTTCGTACGAGATCTTTGGGACGACGTCCTTGTTGTCTTTTGTAATGCGGGGATCGCCCGCAAGGAGAGATGAACGTGCTGCCCCAATCTGGCTGGCCCAGACCCGGAGGGCTAGGCCTCTTTTCGTGATCACCAGGCCTGCCGCACCGTCAGTGTCCTTTGTGGCAATGAGCATATTTTGGAGATCGGTGATAGTAGGGCTCCAAAATCTCGGCAGGACCGAAGTGTCAACTGAGCCCTGCCCCCTTTCCAGATAGTCCCGAACGAAGACGGTATGTCTTCCACCCGCCTCCAAAAGCCCTTTGCGCATGGCTTGCGGGATTTTTGCAATGCATTGCAATTGTACATCTTCTTTTGCAGCTGATGGGTGATGATTAAGCCGGAATCCATATAGGATAATCTCGGAGGCCTTCTCACTGACGATGGCACCACACAGCTTGCGAAAGGACGGAATGGCTTGCTCCTTGAACTTGGCGAAGTCAGAAGGAGGGGTCAGTCTGCTGTCAATCTCAAGGACCAGTTCTGACACCTGCACGGTATTGAACTTCAAAGTCGGTGTTGGCAGCTGGAATGTAGCTTTTCCTTTGACGACGATGAGCAAGATCAGCCTCTTGTAAGTGGCATTGGAAACTGCATCCTTCAGGACCACCTCGTATGGGCCCATGAGCTTTGAGGCCAGGAGGCCAAAAGCCGCAGGGTCCGATGCCGGTAGCACGATGGCCAGGTCATGATTGGTAGGGTCCAAGTGCAAAAGGTCAGCCAGATGGGCTTTGGTAGCCATCACAATGCCTCCCCTCCAAGGAGAAGCCTGGAGGCGATGGATCTGCTCAATAGACTTCCCATCTGTGCCCTTGATTGGGTGGTCGTCACTGAGGAGGAGATCCTCCCAGCGAGACTGTTGTGGTCTCTGCTTAGACTTGGCCTTCCAAGGGTCATTGACCCAGATTGGATCTTCTTTCGTTGCAGAGGGTGTAGGCACCGGCTTTGGCACACTGGAGGTAGACTCAGTACCCTGCCCTTCCATTCCTGCAGCATAGAACTCCGGAGGGAAGTTGTTGACCACCACTTTTGCCAAAAAGGAGGTCCTCACGTGGGTGGCAAAACTCTTGAGCTGCTGATTGTTTGTGGATGCATTCCAGATCTGATGAGCCTCACGCTGAAGGTGTGCAATTCTGGGCTGCCACGCAGAAGCGGTCAAGGAGTCTTGAATCTGTTGGGATACTTCAGGAAAAGTGACTCCCATCCTTTGAAAAATCTCCATAGCAACTGCGTATCCACAGAGGTTGTGGGGCACAATCTGCGTGTAGTAGGTGATCAAGGTCCCTGCCGGATGTGCACCAATTGCCCGAATGATATGGTTGATGAGAGGGTTGAGCTGGCTCTGCATGGCAGGCGGAGCAACCACAATCAAATTGACCTGCTGGAAATGGTGTGAGCGGTACATCTCCACATGGATCCAATGAGTGCCAACGATGATTGGCCAAATGATGTGCACATACGGCCGCAGCTGTGGCGGAAATTGACTAGGAAAGACCAAAGCATTCCTCACGGGGCACCACAGGCACGCAGATGTAATCAACATCTCCGGATTGAGAGTCTTGGCATACTCACAAATATGATCCATCTCGTCAGAGGCCATCCACCCACCATTCACCTGGAAATGATCGAGGCGAGCATTGATCCTGGCCTCCATAACGTGAGGCATTGATGAGCTGGCCAGCGTTACCCGTTGAGGTGGGTCCGGTGGTTGAATGAAATGGCGAGGAAAGGCCGAAAGCAATTCATGTTCCGCAGCAGGACTTCCCCTCAACGTTTCCCCATAAAGCATGTAGAAGAAAGATCTGCGCAAAGCAGCAGCCAGCAACGCAACTGCCGGATCCGCATGGGCATCTCTCCAGCTCTCGATGGAGGAAGAGATGACCAACGCAATGAGGTCTTGAGTGTCTGGAGGCGGAACGGGCACTCTGAGACTCATGTCTGGGATGTTTGCACGCACATTGGCTTCTTCAATCCACTTGGCAATAAGCATCCAGCCACACAAATGAGGAATGTAAACATCGACCGGAGCGTCAAACTGAATACGTGCCGGAGTGGTGTCCAGACGTCTCGCAAAAATGCGAACAAGTCTAAGATGAAATCTTGGATGCACTTGATGGAGGGTGAGATGGATCTGGCTGCCCTGTCTGCGAACCTCCACCGCACACCAATGGGCTTGCATCAGGATCGGAACAATTGAAGCACCTCTTCATATACGGGGTTGTTTATTAATCAAGAGTCTACATTAGGTAAATAGGCCAGAACGATTCCATAGATCGATGGGATTCCATCGGTCTGGGTGACGAGACTGGGCCAGTGATTCATTACGTGTGGTCCCCATGGGAAAGGTGGGAGGAATGAGGATCCAGACTGTCAGTCTCTGGACGATTCGGAAAATACACGGACTTGTACTTTAAGAATTCTTAAGACAGGTATGTCAGTTGTGTAACATTCAATAGCGATCTATGATCTATTATATGGTTTGAGTTTAAATCTTTAGGTGTGATAGTTCTCATGCACCAAAAGGGTTTCGAGTGTCTAAGATTGCTGCGAATAGGGCAGTCAAGAAGTGAACTTCATGGTAAGCAACACATGCTAAGAAACTGCCAAGTGGAGCTTGATATGGAAGGTGCCCCAAACAATCACTGCAGCCTGACGGGACTTTTCACCCAAGAGTTCCCTTGGTGGGTCACGGAGTGCTCAAATCCATGAAAGTGGCTGGGCACCCTGTATCTCCAGACCGGTATGATAAAGCAACACATGAACCCTCTCACTGAAAGCTAGTTGCGGCATAGTGTTTGGATAGCATGCATGTGATGTCAAGACTAAACCCATCTTGCAAAATCAAATCAAAACATTTTGGCGAACCGGGTGCATGCCCCGCAAATACTCACTGGCCGCAAAAAAACAAAGTGTTCTTGTATGCCGCGTCAGCCACCCAGTCAGAGAAGCCATGAAAGGTCCTCCACAAGAACTCCTGCAACCGATGTCCGAGAAGAAGCCCAAGTCCGGGGGCGATGCTCATCCCAGGGTGAAAGAACGGGTGGTTTTGTTGTTCATCCAAGAAATTATTTACCTTAAGTGATTTTCACAAAAAAAAGGCAGGTGGCCCTGTCGTGATTTCTTGAATGAAAACCAAGCTCCCGCGAGAAACCGATCGAGTAGGGTGTCTTGTTGTTGTTCAGAACATCCAAGGGAAACAACAACAATAACAACAACAACAACAACAACAACAACAACAACAACAACAACAACAA